CAAATGACATTTTATTTATTTATTTATTTATTTATTAAATCATAGGTGTGTACATTAATGCTGTCATGGAGTATGGTGTGCTGGTTCTATATACAATCTGAAACATTTTCATCAAACTGGTTAACATAGCCTTCATGTCATTTTCTTAGTTATTGTGTTTAGACATTTATATTCTACATTTAGGAAGATTCACATGTACCCTTATAAGATGAACCATAGGCGTGGTCCCACCAATCACCCTCCCTCCACCCATCCTCCCCCACCCCTCCCCTCCCTCTCCCCTTTCCCCATAATCTTGGGCTATAATTGGGTTATAGCTTTCATATGAAAGTTCCAAATGACATTTTAATAACAGCAATGGAAGTTTAAGAAGTCACTGGTACTGGTAGTACCTTAGTAAGTTTTCTCTTACTTGTACCACCTATACAGTTAACTCCTTTCTCCTCCTTCCATATCATTCTCTGTGGAAGGGAGTTGTGTGCAGCCTGGGCTTAAGTAATAGGAAGTTATGCTTGCTACCTTCAGGGCAGAGTATCTGCATAATCTTTTTGGAATTATTCTGCATGGAAGATTTGTCTCTTTCCCCCACTGATTAATTTATTTAATCATATGTAGCAGTAGGGACTAATGGATATTTATTTTATACTTGGGGTTATAAATTTAAGACTGTTTTATTTTGCTGCTCAGTTCATTCCAGTATTGGGCACTGGGGACTCTTGCAGTTGGCTCCTGTGTCCCTTCAGTATACCCCTATCAATACTTTTGGTTTTCGAGTACTTCTTTACTTTCTGAGCATTTTGAGAGGCTCCAAGCTCATTTGTGTACTTCCTGCTGCAGTCCTGGAATCAGCTATTTCTCCTAGGAACCCTGGTTTCTTTTATTTCAGAATGGTATTAGACACCAAAATCTGGGCACTAGGTATTCTCATTGCTACTGGGTGTTGTTTCTTTTAGATCCTCTCAGCTAACAAAACAGATGTGTGTGTATGCTAACCCATGTATATATGCACATATCTATAAATATTTCTGTGTGTAGTTATCTATATATTATGCCAAACATGAGTTCTTACCAGCATCTCCAAATCTAATCCATTACCATGTGAATCATTCTACTCTTCATCCCTTCCTGATCTATAAATTTCCACTCCAGCAGTGAGAAACCTGACTCCTGTTGTCTGCCATCCATTTATTTACTTGTTCAATACCAGTATACACGGTACATGTAGAGCAGTATCAGAATTGTTTATTGGTAACCCCATGGGAAACAACTTTATCAGGTAGAATACAGTGCTTATGTGCTGAGTTTCTTTAACCTTCCTTCTTACAGACCCCCTTCATTTCCAAAGTTTCTAGGTCAACACCTTTTCCCTTACCCTCAACTCTTTCAGTAGGTTGTTTCATACACTGTGATACAGTTAGATTCTCTTGTCACAGCCTGTGCTCCTTCCTGGGATACTGCCACCTCCTAAATAACTTTTTTTTTTTTTAAATTGTGTACACATTAAGATTCATTCCTTGTGTTGTAATGTTCTGTGTTGGTTACAGTATCATGCAGAATAGTTTCACCACCTCAAAGTCCCTTGTGCTTCATCTGTTCATCTTTCCCTAATCCCTACCAAACTCCTGGCAGCACTAATCTTTTGACTGTCTCTATGGTTTTGCTTTATACAGTATGTACAGGCATACCTCAGAGATATTGCAGATCCAGACCACTACAATAAAGTAAATATCACAATAAAGTGAGTCACATGAATGTTTTGTTTCCCAGTGCATATAAAAATTATGTTTATATTATACTGTTGTCTATTAAGTGTACAGTAACGTGTCTAAAAATTTCTTAAAAGTAATTTATTGCTAAAAATGCTAACAGAGCAAGCACAAACCATTAGGAAAATGTTTCCTTTATACCTCCCAGATGCAGGGTTGCTGCAAACCTTCAGTTTGCAAAGGTACGTGTCATCTGTATGTTGCAATAAAATGAGGTATGCCTATAATTGGAATCATACAGGATGGAGCCTTTTTAGATTGATGTCTTTCACTTAGCAGTATATATTTAAGGTTTCTCTAATTTGTGTGTGTGACTGGCCTGATAGTTTGTTTCTGTTTATTGCTGCATAATATTCCATAATACGGGTGCATCACAGTTTATTTATCATAGCACCTATTGAGGAATGGCTTGGTTGCTTCCAGTTTGGGGCAGTTATAAATAAAACTGTTCTAAACATTCACTTGCAGGATTTTGGGTTTTTGTTTGGCCTAAGTTTTCACATCAATTGGCTAAGTATCTAGGATTGCGATTGCTATTCTGCATGGTGAGAAGGTTAGTTTTGTAAGAAATTCCTAGTGTCTGCTATTTTACATTTCCACCATCAGTGAATAGAGTTCCTGTTGCTCTGTACCCTCACAACACTGATACTCAGTTTGGGGATTTCAGCCCTTCTAAGAGTTAGGTGAGACTAGCTCATTGTTTTAATTCACAATTCCAAAATGAAAAGTAGTGCTGAGCATCTCTTCATATGTTTATTTGCCATTTATACACCTATTTTTTGGAGGATTCTGTTTGTATCTTTTGCCCATTTTAAAATTGGTTATTTTATGTTTCTATTGTTAAATGTTAAAAAAGTCTTTGTGTATTTTGGATGCCAGTCCTTTATCAGATATGTTTGCAAATCTCTCACCTCATGGCTTGAGTTTTTATTTGCCTTTTTTTCATAGAGCAGAGGTTTTTAATTTTAATAAAATTAAAATTTTATTAAATTTATTTATTAAATTTTAATAACTTAACCAAAGTTTTTCTTTTGTGGATTTTGCCTTGGTGTTATATCTAAAAACCCTTTGCCAAACCTGAAGATTACCTAGATTTTCTTCTGTCTTATCATCTAGAAGTTTTATAGTTTTGCATTTTACATTTGGGTCTGCGATTCATTTTGAGTTAATTTTTATGAAAGGTATATGTGTCTAGATTCACTTTTTTACATATGAATGTTGATTATTACAGTAACATTCATTATCAAGACTGTTCTTTCTTGATTGAATTGCCTTCACTCCTTTGTCAAAGATCGTGTGACTATACTTGTGTGGGTCTGTTCAATCCCATTCTCTACGTACTTATCTGTTCTTTTACAAATATCACATTATCTTGATTATTATGGCTTTGTAGTAAGTCTTGACATTGGGAAGTGTCAGTCCTCCAACTTGGTTTTTTTTCAGTATTGGATTGGCTATTCTGGTTCTTTTGTCTCTCTCTATAAATTTTAGAATCAGTTTGTTCATAGCTGCAAAACAGATTACTGAGATTTTAGTTGGGATTGCATTAAATCTATAGATCAGCTTGGGAAGAACTGATATTATAATAATATTGATTCTTTCAATCCGTAAACATACAATATTTTTTCATTTATTTAGATCTTCTTTGGTTCTATTGAAGTTTTGTAGTTTTCTGCATATAGGTTCTGTATATATTGTTAGATTTATATATATGTATTTTTTGTGTAGTATTGTAAATGGTGTTTTTTATTTCAAATTTCAGTCAATTGCTGGCATATAGGAAAGCAACTGCTTATTAGTTTCAGTTTTCTTCTTCTTTTTTTTTTTCATATAGTCATGTCCTCTATGAACAAAGTTCTTTCCCCCCTTACCACTCTGAATACCTTTCATTTCCTTTTCTTGTCTTAATTTAACTAGCCAGGATTTCCACTGTGATGTTGAATAAAGTGATGAGAAAGGGTGTTCTTGCCTTGTTCTTGATCTTCGGGGGAGGGAAACGTATAGCCTTTTATAATTAAGTATAATGTTAGCTGTAGGTTTTTTGTATATGTTCTTTATCCAGTTGTGACAATTTTCACTATTTCTAGTTTAAGACTTTTTAGACATGAACAGGTATTTTGCTAAATACATTTTATGTATCAATTGATATTATCATATGATTTTTCTTCTTTTAGCCCATTGATATAGTAGATTACATTAATTGCTTTTCTTTTTTTGTTTTCTTTTAAAAATTGCTTCTCTAGTGTTAAATCAACCTTGCATACTTGGAATAACTTAGTCATGGTATATAATATTTTTTATACATTGTCAGATACAACTTGCTAATACCTTGTTGAGGATATTTGCATCTGTGTTCATGAGAGATGATGGTTTGGAGTTTTTTCCCCCTGGTTTTGGTATTACTAAAACTATTCTTTATTTCTCTTTATTTCATTCTGGCCCTTATTCATATACAGTCTCCAATTTTAACTATGTAAAATGATGCACAAGTTATAATTTGTTAATCTCTTATAGCCATTCAGTCTCTACTGAAGCCTCTTCTACTGCCTTATAATTTTCACTGTATGGTTTTTATTTAAGAGTAGTTGTATTTAAAATCAAGTTGAGTTTTACAATGAAAAATACCATTTATCTACATATAGGAAGTAAACTCTAGATTTCAATTATTATATTAGATTATAGTTACATTCAGATTGTAAGAAGGAAATAATTTTATGTTCCACTAGTTAATAAGAAGTGCCCTAGCTATTTGTACTTACAAAGGAACTTACCTAGAAAAAATAATGGACTCATGTGCCTTGTCAGTAATGGGGCACTCAGCACAGGTCTGACTGGAGATATGGGGACATTTCTCCTTTTTGAAATCAGCCCTCTCTTTTTATGTTCTCTTTTTCTCGGAGGTTATTTCTTTCTTAACCCTTTTGTGAAACAGAAGAATACAGTTTAATACTGATTTACTTATCCTGTAAAATGTATTTCCTACTGTCAGATATTAAAACAAGTAAGTTAAACACAAATTGATTTCTCCTTTTTTTTTTTTGTATCTGGTTTGTGTTTCTACAAGGAAAAAGTTTTGCAGCTTAACATAGGATGTGACAAGGGAAGATAATAGGCACAAATAGGAAGCTTTAGGACATATTAACCTGAGTAAAAACATAATACATTAATAGACTTTTTTATTATAAAGAAAAAACTTGTCAAATGTTTCATGTTCATGTGTCTACTTTTTCATAGGCAGAGAATCCCCCTAATGGACCAGATTGTGGTTATGGCTCCTTTCACCAGCAGTACTGGCTTGATGGAAAGATCATTGCTGTGGGGGTGGTTGACATCCTTCCGTACTGTGTGTCATCTGTGTATCTGTACTATGATCCTGATTATTCATTTTTGTCTTTGGGTGTCTACTCTGCACTACGGTAAGATGGCTTTTTTTGTGGTTGTTTCAATGAGTTATATGGAACTTCAAATAGTTACTCATTTGATTATATTTCATTATGTAATAGAAATTCTATTTGACAGTATAATATTTTGTTGCTATAATAGCATATTATATAGTATATTACATAAGTATATGAACTGTATTCTATAATATATACAGTATATACTGTATACTATATATTATATATAATTATATATAAGTATAAAGTTATATAGTATATTATAGATACTTATATAATACATAATTATTATTTATAACTAGTATACATATTATGTAGTAGTTATATATGGGATTTACAAGGTATCACTTTCGGAACTACTGTCAGTATCTCATGGTAATTCTCTAGCACTTTAAGATATCAAGTCCAGTGTTTAAAAAAAAAAGTCATTTGTGGGATGCTTTTGTTGTTTAGTTTATATATTTGTTTAAGCTTCCCTGTCATAACTTCTTATGTTTCTTAAATGTTACGTTATTTATATGTTTATCATTATCTTTACTTTTTACTATTAAAGTTAAATTAACATAGTGTAAATGAATTAAAGCAATATGAGTCAGCTGGAAGAAGTATAGTTATATACTACATATGGAAGCCAGGTCTGGGAATCCCTGGCTATCAGGTTGAAGCTATGACCCTCGTCAAAAGATGATTTCCTTTTTATGCCCATGCCTACAGATATATGCAATGTAGCACAAATAGTTTTTCATTATAAGAAGATTGGAGGCCTATCCCATGTTTTTATTTTTCTTTCTTTATTTATTTTTGAGACACGGTCTCACATTGTCACCCTTGGTAGAATTCAGTGGCATCACAGCTCACAGCAACCTCAAACTCTTGGGCTCAAGCAATTCTCTTGCCTCAGCCTCCCAAGTAGCTGGGACTACAGGTGCCCCCCACAATGCCCGGCTATTTTTAGAGAAGGGGGTCTCGCTTTTGCTCCGGCTGGTCTCGAACTCATGAACTCAGGCAAGCCACCGCCTTGGCCTCCCAGATTGTTAGGACTATAGGCGTGAGCCACCGCACCTGGCCTTTCATGTTTTTATTTTTATTTTTCTGTTTGTGTGTATGTATTTATGGTAAAGGAAGGAAGGAGGGTCTGGAATTATTTTTCTTTTATCTGGGAGCTTGAGTCTCTTTTTCTTCCTCTTTATCATTTTGTCATACTTTTCTGATTTATTTCCCAGTCTTTATATTTCATGGCCACGTTTTCATGTAAAATATACTGCCAGATTATTTTATTTTTTTGTGTATATGCTTATTTTTCTCTAAATGAGTAATTTGATTTAAAAAAAAAATCTGGTCCGTAGTTGTTTTTTTGTGTGTATTTCAATAGCCCACACTATAAAGAAGTTCTTCATCTTAGTATTTTCAACCTGACTTTTCTTTTAATGCGAGTTTGTAACAAATTTACAATTATATGGTATTTATAACTGATCTCTGTAAGAAATTTTTATTTTTCTTATCTATTTAATTGCATTTTTGTATAAAATTATTCAAAAATATTCATGGATCTTGGCAATCCCACTAAAATTGGAACTGAGATTTAAATCATTCACATTTTGTAACTTTAATATTTATATTTACTCATATAAATACAGAAGTTTGTATTTATTTCAAAAAAGATGTATTTTCTTTATACCCCAAATCAGTCAATACTTTATTGTTCTTTTCTTTTTGGTTTTATTTTTATATCTATCACTTTACAGTGTATATTTACAGATTATGAATGAGATTTATTCTTACATATTAAACCCTAATCTGTACGTGAAATATTTCATAGCCCAATAAATTCAGAGGTGGTTTAGATATTGAGACAGTAAATAATTAATTCCCAGCAAAATCAGAAAGAGTGTTCCTGATCGCTTGGTGCCCCTTGCAAACCCTAGAGCTGGAGCAGGGAGGAAGGAGGAGAGCAGCCTGCCTGGTGGCTGCTGGTTGAGTGCGGGGAGGTTGCCACTTCCTGTTGGTGTTTGAGAACATGAGTCACTGAGTTTAAGACAGGTAAAGGCAGTAGGGAGATTAGCATCTTAAAGTAAAATTGGGAACTCGGTTACAACTGTCTTTGCTATTTCCATTATTGATTTTAATGTATTTTGGTGAAAGTTGTTTAGGCAATTTTTCCTCAGTTTCTTCAGTTCCTTCAGCAGTCCCACAGTCAGTGTAGTTCTGTATTTTTAGATGTTTATATAATCTAGTCTGCAGATTTAGAAAATATTTGAATTGGCGATCATGAGCATAGCATTCATTTACGTATTTTAAGAAGATGAATTTTAGAAATGTAATTCTATTCATAGAAGTAAATAAACAGACGGGGATTCCAGTTTGTCAAAGCAGACAGTAAATCAGAAAACAGCTTATTTCTAGATACTCCATACCGCTGTGACAAAAATGACATTAGCAGTGGAGGTAGATGAAGCCCTGTTTTATGTAGAGTGGTCAAGTGGTCAGAAAGACCGCTATGAACACATGACATTTGAGGAGCAAAGGGGGACAAAAGGAGCCAATCACACACAAATCTGTGGGCAGAGGTCCAGGTAGAGTAACAAAGTGGCCTGAGTGGTTGAGATACACAGAAAGGTCTTATGGGCTAAGGTAGGGAAGGACATAGAGAATGTTCCACCACGAGGGTAGAGAAGCAGGTGGAGGTGGGGAGGAGGGGGCAGATGGAGCAGGGATTGTGGGTCTCGTAGGCAGGCTGGATTTTATCTGTGTGTGATACCAACCCAGTGCTGGGGTGGGGTTTGGGAGGTTACATGGTCTGATGAATATTGTAGAAGACTATTCTGACTGTTACTTGGGAAGAATGGAAACAGAAAAGCTAGTTGGGAGGCTATTGCAGTTCTCTAGGGGAGCCATAAGGGTGACTTGGGCCAGAAAACCTGAGGTAGAAGTGGTGAGAAATGGCCAGATTTAGGCATAGTTTGGGAGTAGAGCCCAAAGGACCTGCTGGTGGGTTACACATGGGGTGAAGGGAAAAGAACAGTTAAGAGTCATTCATAGATTTGGGGCCTGAACAGCCGGGAGAGGGGGCCAGTGATGAAATGAACTGAAATGGGCAGCACCAAGTGAAGGAGAGCCACCGAGAGCCTCTGTGGCCGGTCAGGCCTTGTTGGAATTGGGTGGTCATACTTGGCTCGTTCTATGCATTCTTTCCTCCATTAGACGCTTGAGAGTGGATTAGTTCCAAGAACAGTAGAATGTATTCTGTTATAGGCTAATGGTGTTTAGTCTGCTTGGATTTTCAAACACTTTTAATTTAATGATGAATTTGGATGGTAGCAGTTCTTAAGTTTGAACTAGAAAAATACATAGAATATTACACTAAAAAATACATTTCTCCTGAATTTCAAGCATCCATTGCTAGTAGAAAAGAACACCTTCAGAAACAAAAAAAAAAAAAAAAAAGAAAACAGCTTTCCTCATACTGAGGAAATGTACTGAAATTTTATTCAAAACTCACAGATACAACCATTCAGCTGGGTCTGTGTCAAAATTTATCTGGATACAAATTAATTAAAACCACTTCACACCCAAGTGTTGCATGAAGATACTGACAACTCCTCTTTCAAGTTATCAAAACATAGTGTGGTAACATGGTATTTTCCCTCTGTAGTCTTAGAGGAAATAAATATTTATAAATAAATAAATATTATTCTGCCTACATACAGGACATGTTATATATCATATAGCTGGAAGTGTTTGCATGTAAATAGTCACAACAGTAGTTACTCTTTCTGAAATGTATTGATGTTTGAATTTTCTCATATTTACTACACTATTTTCACCATAGGGCATAATGAATAATAACATGACACTATAGATCTCTTTATTTTTATTTGAAATTTATCGATTTATTTGTTTATGACAGAATTTCACTCTGTTGCGTGGGTTGGAGTGCAGCGGTTCAAGCATACATCACTATAACCTCAAATTCTTGGACTTAAGCAATCCTCCTGCCTGAACCTCCTGAGTAGCTGGCCCTATAGGCATATACCACTACATCTGGCTAATTTTTCTATTTTTTTGTAGAGAAGGGATTTCACTCTTGCTCAGGATGATCTGGAGCTCTTGAACTCAAGTGATCCTCCTACCTTTACCTCCCAAGGTGCTAGGATTCTAGATCTGTGCCACGATGCCCAACCATGTATTTGAATTTTAGATCAGCCACTTTGCCCAATAAAGAATAAAGCCTAGGGTGGTGCCTGTAGCTCAAGTGGCTAAGGCGCCAGCCACATACACCAGAGCTGGCAGGTTCAAATCCAAGCCTGGGCCTGTCAAACAATGACAACTACAACCAAAAAATTGGTGGGCTCCTATAGTTCCAGCTCCTTGTGAGGCAAGAGAATTGCTTAAGCCCAGGCCTTAAAGGTGAGCTGTGACACCACGGTACTCTACCCAGGGCTCTGTCTTTAAAAAAAAAAAATGCCTAAACTCAGATACATTTCTCAAAATAATTGAGAGGGTTTTTGTGTGTGTGTGTGTGTGTCTGGTAAAAAGATTGTTTTTCTTTTTATATTTGGATTTTTTGATAGCTTAATATCTTGTTATATCAAATATTTGTCATCAGATTTCATAGTTTTTTAAACTTGGAACCAGAATTAACTGTACTTTCACTTTTTTCTTTTGACAGAGAAATTGCTTTTACTAGGCAACTTCATGAGAAAACTTCTCAACTCAGCTATTATTACATGGGTTTCTACATTCATTCATGTCCTAAGATGAAATATAAGGTAAAATTGATTTTCTCCCATGTCTGTTTTTATTATAGGAAAATAAATCTTCAATAAAATTTTTATCTCAGGGCACAGGACTTGGAGCTTTGAAGGAAGGACGAATGAGTTAATAAGGAAATCTCTGTGCTGCCTTAGAAATTAAGCTTTCTGTGATGAGAACCACACCCTACTTACTTTGTAATCCATTGTATTATTGTGAGATTCAAGTATATTTCAGAATTTCCCTTTAAAAAAAGGTTTTATGATTCTCTTTAATGAAACTCTTTGATGTTGTCTAAGTGTTTGTAGCCTACTGTAAAAACTCTGGAGAGTAAAGACCAGTACAAAGGAGCAGACTCCCTGCCTCCCACCCACTGTGATGACCATAACCAAACACCTCTGCTTTGTTTAGTGGGCGCTTTAAGCTCTGATGATTGCAGACGTGAATCTGCTGCTTAAAATGTGTGATCTGGATGAAGACTGGGGGCATTATACTTAAAACCAAGTGAAATAGTAGTCTCGTAAGCAGTTTAGGAGAGCATGGGAATTTTACTAAACAAGGTCTAGAGAAGTTAAGAGTGTAACCAAAAGGTAGGAGTAGCTCAAGCAAAGAGTAGGTGTGATGGAGACGCACGTTTCAGGGAGGAGAAGCTGTGAAAGTAAGGATTCAGAGATGGCAGTGCCTGTGTTATGTTCATGGATAGAAGGACAACCAAAGGACTGTGAAGCACTTTGAAAGCTAGTCGAGGGTGCTTAGGAACTGGGAGTCATCACCCGCTTTAGGGCAAAGCAGTATAGGTCAAAAGATACGTACAATTTTAAAATACCCCAAATTAAAGAAAAAAGTGTACTTTGAACCCTGTGCACCCGTTATCCTGGCTTTAGCAGTTTTCAATTTTACTTCATCTATTTCTTTGCCCCATTCCCACTTATATCTTCTTTTGAGTTATTTTTGAGCAAATCCAGGATATCACTTCATCAGTAAATATTTGAATGTATATTTCTAAAAGATAAAGGCACTTTGAAAACATAACCACAATCTCATCATTATACCTGGAAAATATTTAAAAATTTCCACACATCATCTGATATCTAGTTGGTGTTCCTATTTTCTTAATTGTCTCATATTCTTTTTTACAGTTAATTTGTTTGGCTGAGGAACCAGACATACATTATATTTGGTTGATGTATCTCTTTTTTTTTTGAGACAGAGCCTCAAGCTATCCCCCTGG